TGTATAGAAAACATTCTATGACAGAGAGGCTCTTAAGTTTACACATTTCATCTACATATATATATAAAAGTAATAACATAAGATTAAGATTGATTGTGCATGAGAGGTTCATACAACTGAAAGGCATTCTCTTGCAATCATGTAAGATGATCCTGCCTATGCTAAGTATATCTGTAGCCTTTACATTACCAAAAATATATATATATACATAAAAAAAAAAAAAAAAAAATCAAAAAGGTTTTTGCTATGATAAACATATCAAAGCATGATGGCTTGAATGTGTGTACCTACATAAGAGGTTAAAGAGTTATTCTCAGGATTTCAGTGCTGTGACACCTACATCCTCACATTGATTAGTGCTTCTGGCTCTCACCTGGTCGTGACCTCATGTATTCCAGCCCTCTTCTAAACGGTCCACCCTAAAACACGCTGCATATTATTCCTACGATACTGAGATTGCTAGTTTGTGAACACATCTAGTTCTCCCAAAACAGAAATCTGAGAAATGTATTTGCTGCTCCAGATCGTTACATTTTCAGTTTTAGGGGGGAACTGAGCATTAAGGGCTGATGTGGGCCAATCAGCCTGAGGGGTGTGACACAGCAGCCCAGTTTGAGAGGGCAGTAAACACCTGAGGTGAAGAGGGACAAGTAGCGAAGCTCACAGCCTTGGACACAAGTGTGAGAGTCGGATTTAGTAGTGTCATCTCTTTACTGGTAGAGAGAATATTACTAGCTACCAATTCAACATCAACTGTGCTGGTCTGTGTTTTATTGCAGTCCCATCAAGTAAGATTGGGTCTTTGTGTGGGACAAATGTTAGTGTAGTTTGATTTCCATTCAGGGGAAATAAGATTTCATGATGACTTCTCTAATCTAACATTTTAATCCAACTCATCCACCCTCTGACCCTTAAATGCCACAGGTATCTCTAAATACAAAATATAAATCATATTCCTGCCTCAGTTTTCAAATTTAATAGCATCTGTTTTGTTGCATCTGTGGCCACCTCTCCAGTCTTAAGTGTTTGAGAGGTTCTGCTTCTGCAGTCAGACGTGCCCTTTTTAACCCCAAATGTCCGAATGCAACATCCATCAAGGCCATCTTCCTGCTCCTCCACCGTCCTTAATAGCTGTTGCCGTTCATCTGGTGAAGGTCCACCTGCATCATGTTGATCCCACTGCTGGCTAATCGAGCTATGCTCTCTGCAGATAAGGTTTCCATGGTGACAATGGTGTGCTGGTCATTGGCTGACACTGCCCCAGTGCCGGCTTCTGTTCCCGCCGCAGGGGAGGTGGCGTCGGTCGAGACTGTGGTGGTACTGCTGGTGGTGGCGGCTGCTGCTTTCTTGTTCAAATGGGTCTTGATGTGCTTTGAGAGGTGATCGCTGCGCATGAAGCGTTTGGGACACTCTGGGCAAACAAATTTTTTCTCACCTGAAAAGGGGGGAGTAATAAAAATCAGTATCAGTAAAACAGCTGCTGCTGGCACTCATTCAGACTATGACTGGCTGCACTGTTAAAAGTGTCCATTTATGAAGAATTAATGCACTGTATTGACATAAAGAATAATATTTAAGACATTAAGATTCAAGGTTATTAATCATGGTAAAAAAAAGAGATTCCCTCATGATGAAATATGCCTGTCACATGTTGACTTGGGCACACAGGCTTATCCTTCACTCTTAAATCCCATTTGTTACTAATAACATGAATGATGGCTCTGTTCTAATCAACTGCCCCAGTTATCAATGACAGTGTGAACATGAGCCAACACGCACAACACCAGAACCTTAAAAATCAGCTTTTAAAAATACATCTTGAACTTTGTCCTCAAAGTCCTCATGTGTACCTGTGTGTGTCCGCTTATGGCGCTGAAGCTCATCTGAACGGGTGAATCGTTTGCCGCAGAATGCCCAGCTGCAGACGAATGGTCGCTCTCCTGTGTGCCAGCGTAGATGGGCCCTCAGGTGAGATGTCTTGCCATAGATCTTACCACAGCCAGTGATGTGACAAATGTGCTGCTTCTTTTTAGTTGGGTCACTGTTTGATGTAAAAACCATACATAGGAGTTAGAGTGACAATGATCTTGTGTGAGATATTCAGAGGCTTCTCTGTGAGGAGACTGTGTACAATCAGGAAAAATTTAAATGTTGTGTTCTTCTGGTAATTATGTCAAAAGGAAAATAACACACTCCTCATTGAGATTCTCTAAAGAAAAACCACGGTCAATATAAACTCTGGTTTTATTTTTGTAGCTCTGGACAGCAGTTCTAATAAATTGTTCTTTTCCTTCATGTATTAACATTAATCACAAAGCTCTTTAAAGACAATGAGTTAAGAGTGTCAGAATGACATGATAAAAGAAGTTATATTGTGAAAAATAATATGGTTCAGTGACATACCGTCCTTCTCCATCCTTGCAGAACGGGCAGGTGCAGGCTTCCCTCCGGTTACGTCGTCCTTGAGGTGGTGGGCTTATATCCTCATCATCCATGGCTGTGCTATCATCCAAACTTTCTCCGCCCGTCTGTAACCCCTGCTCTCCTGCAGTGATGGAACAAGAAAAATTTAAGTACAAGATTATTAATACAATGGTACGAGATCGATTTGGTTTATAGACATTTCATTTATTAAGTTCATGAACACGCTCCAACTATTTCATTCATACATCTAATTTTTCAGCAATCTTTTCTGTAGGAAGATCCACAGGAGATTACAGCTTGCCAGTATTTTAGAACCTATTAAAATGTCAAACATTCAGATACTTAAATGACCTGAAATTAGTGCTTTTATTAACAGCAGAGGCTAAACCAGTTACACCTACAGTGGGTCTTAAAGTCTGAGATTTTTGGACCCCCCTCCCTGCCACAACTGTGTGTTACCTGCTGCCTGCAACTAAAAGATCTAGGTAATTTCTGATAAGATCTGCTTTAAGTCATTTCCAGTGACATGCTTCAGAATCAGACAACAATACTAAATCCAGGGAGCAGTGAGCAGTACAGGTAATATGTACTCTAAGCAACACTTGAATGTACAGTTAAATACCAGTTGACCTGAGCTCTCAAGGTTTTAAATACTATGCTAAAATAAATGTTAGTGTAACGTCAGCATTGACACATTCAGTTCTGCTGTAGCCCAAATATAGCCTTCTGCATATGTAGCAGAAGCACATTATTTCATAAGCATGACAAGCCCAATTACTCATCACAAATGTTAGTATTTGATAAAAAAAAAAGCATATGAATAGGATGGGAGGGACCGCCAGTAACTTAATTCAAGGAGGGTTTGGTCATGATAGAGCTTCCCATAAGACAGGGAGGAGTCAAGTTACACATACTATGACAAAGAAGCTGTGGCCAACTCACAAATACATCACTGTAATGTGACTATCATCTGACGAGATGCAGTTTTACCAAGAAAAGAAATAAAAAGAGGAAAAAATTAAACATGAACACAAACCCTCCAGGCCAGCTGAACTGGTTAAACCAGTATTGTGCACTTCACACAAAGAGCAAAAGAGATCAAATCCAGAGATACAAGATAGTTTGCATTTCAGAGCAAACACTAGGCAGAAAACACACAGCTAGTAAACCTAATTTTCAAGACTAATTAAAATATTTACTCAGTCCAACTGCCAGTCATTTAACTGCTTCTACAAATACTGTGTACTACAATAGCTGAATTTAACTGTCTTGTCTACAATAACAAAAAACTAGCCATGATTAAAGGTTAACCCAACCTCTGTTATTTGGCTACTTTCCAGGCCAAAATAAAATGGAAAGAACATTTCTGAAGAGTAATGACTGCAAAAGTCCAATAACCATTTAGTACAAACAAAACTGTTTTTTACACATAGGGCAACTGGGTTTCCCCGAGTCACAAACTATACTATATTAATTATACTATATGTCAATATAGATAATATAGATTCACATTTGCAAAATAGTATGTATACATAATAACACTGAATAAAAATTATTCCTCAACAACAGGCTACTGACTGACCTGTTGCGATGGTAATGGGAACACCCTGCAGCTGGTGCATCTGTAGGCCGGCGCTTCCAAGCGTGTTCAGATTTATGGTCTGGATGCCTGGGATCTGCACTGTGTTGACAGATACTCCTCCAGCTGCAGCAGCTCCCTGAGCCTGACTGAGCTGGGGGAGAGGCTGTACTGGGGCCAATGTGATCTGCGCTCCTGTCGGATTCTGGATCTGAATGGTCTGCCAGCTCACTTGGCCATTAGGGCCTACAGTGCGCAGGAGGATGGGGCCTGTGTTTGGCATAATTTGAAGATTTTGAAGCCCTTCCTGGCTGAGCGTTGGAGTCGCAAATACCTGACCGCCTGCGGTCGTGACAGTCCCAGCCTGGATGGTCTGGAGGGGTGTTCCACCTTGGATAACATGCTGAGGCTGCAGAAGGATCTGCTGTGGCTGCTGCCCATCTCTGTTGTCTGGTTGTATTGGGACACCCAGAGAAGATGCTGTGTTCTGCTGAAATGTCCCTGTCACTGCTCCACTGCTGTTCTGCGTTTGGGTCATTCCATAAGAAGAGGAGGTCTGCGTGGTAACAGTGGATGCACTTGTCATGTAACTGTTGGAAGACACTGGCTGTTGCGAATGCTGTTGTATAAGCTGATTTCCCCCTGTATCCCCTCCCCCATTTGCATCCCCCCCTGTGCCACTTGTTCCAGTACTGACAGGCAACAAAGTGATGTTTCCATTTAGTGACACAGGCATATTTGCCAGAAACTGTGGCTGGTTTTGTAACACGCCATTACCTAAACTTATATTTTGTATGGGGATGGCTCCCTGAAGGAGACTGGGCATTGTTATGATGTTTCCTGCTGCACCAGCTCTGTTGGTTGCGGCTATGATCTGCTGGCCATTAGGAGAGGACACAATCTGAAACTGTTGCCCTGGTCCTGCTGCAGCAGGTACAGCAGAATCCTGCTGAGTATGTGCGAACTGCAGTGGCTGGCCATCTACTGTCTGAAACTGGGGAATAACCTGGTACTGAATATTGGGCACCATACCTGATATGGTGGTAAGCACCTGCTGACCCTGCATTGATGGAGCCTGAGCTACCACATATTGCTGTGGCTGCTGCTGCTGTCCCTGAGTGCTTACAACAGCTGCTGATGGTGACAGCACCTGTCTGCTCTTGCCTAGGTCTCCTCCTGTCATCACCCCTAAAGTGTCGGTGGTGACTGTGTTAGTGCCTGAGGATGCTTGAACGCTGAGAGGGATAACCTGCCAGCCGTTGGCACTGGAGGTGAAAACACCCTGGTTTAAGTCCAGCTGTTGCTGCTGGTTTTGTTGTTGTTGGTCTGTAGGTGAATCGTTCTCTCCTGGAGTGTCGATTCGACTGCAAGTGGCTGCCAACAAGGCGAGAGGAGATGGCTGCTGTGAGTCCTAGAAATACCATAAATGAAAAGAGAATAGAGAGAATTTATAAAGTAAAAATAAAATCTATCATACATGTTGATGCTTCAGGTTGGGACAAAATGTATAAATGGCTGTCAAATAGTCCACTCATATTTTTAACAATTTCAAACTTACTGACACAGTTCAAACTTTTATACTAAAGGAAATAATAACATAAACAGCTAAATAGAACATAATTGTTATATTGTTATAATTGATAATGACACAGGTGATAAAAAATAAAAACCAAAGACAAAGTTATAGTATAAGAGCCATACTTAAATGTCAACCTGATAAAACTATGAGAAGATAAGTTAAAAGACATTTTGAATATAAAATAAAAAAATGTACTTTGAAAAAATTGTATTGAAAATCATGTGATGGATTTGGATTTAGATTTTTTTTAAAGACAATAAAATTAATTGTGTGACTTGCTTTGTAAAATCTAAACAAGCTTCACTGCAACGCTCCAAAACTCCATTCAAAATATTAAACCCGGTTCTGTTTTGTCATGCAGGTCTCTTTGCAGCACTTTACATGTAGTGGGCTGCAGCGTGAAGTCCTGGGGGGAAGCCGGGTGGGAGAGTATGGGAGGGACCGCATTTTTTCCGGAGCAGCGGCGGGCTCGACTTCCCCTCCCCCCAAACCCACCCATCTCCCTCCCACACTTTTATTTTGCCCTATAAACTGACACACTCCTCTAGCCACCCCCTCCAAGGCCAGCCAAATGGGCCGAGCGAAATGCACACGAAGTGCCGGGGTTTGACGGGAACACCCCGTGTGGGCGAAATTTACCTGCCCATTCCCCACCCCAGTGACATGTGCTCTGGAGAGAAAAATCAACAACCCCGTACAAGTCCCGACACAGATGAGTTACAGACACAATCAATCAGATGGGAAATACATAGCAGGTAGAGTAAGTGTGACTGGGGAGTGTAGTTGAACGTTTACCATCTGATTTGGCAATAAAACAAGTGAATGTGTCCAGTTAACCTACTTGAGAGTTCGTGTTTCGCTTTTGACTGAAGCCTCCACCGCTCCCCACAGCGGCCATTTCACCCTGCTGCTGATCTGCGGAGGAACAGTTTGTAAGATCAGTCTTCAGAAAAGTAGCTCGTCACTTTGAACAGGCAGACAACAAAACCTGGTTAACGCTACACCCAACAACGGGGGTAAACCCCCGCAGTTTACGCACGGCAGACCTCACAAAAAACAACGAAACCTTTCTATAGTTAATGTGCAGAAATGCAGCACAGAAATGCAAGGAAATCTATGCCACAAGTGCTCAAAGGGCCAGCTAGCCTGCTAGCTAAGCTAACATAAACTCACCACAACAAACAATGTTAAGGAAAAGTGCTAAGTATTAGCTAACGAGTTTCAGCTGCACTAACACATACTAGTTAGCTAGCTCAAGGAAACTGGAACAAGTGAAACTGTTGTGTAAGCAGCAGTGTCATTTAGGAACAGAAGTTACGTTAATATTAACCAGTTAGCCAGCTTTACTTGACTGGCTAAATGTTGTTAGCTAAATACCGACAATTAGCAGTTAAGTAGTTGGTACTTTTAAACTGCTTCAGACGCTAGCTAGAAAACAATAAAACATCATTTTCACAACAGTGAGCACACTTAAAACACTGTACTCTGATTTAACTTCGAACTGTTAACTTTAAGTCTGGTTCACATCACGCCGCTAAGTTTAAAAAGTTCACTTACTGCTCATAATTTGAAGACGGGAGGAGTTTCTCTGCTCTTTTCTCGGGTTGACAACTTTTCACAACTTCACACTAACTTGACGGGCCGCCCGCTATGAAGGAGAAAAACACGGGTGCGCTCGATTAATTCTCTCGTGTAGCCAAACCCCAGCCAACCTGTCCTGAGCACGATCATGGACCAACACATTTTCCAATTCAATCTAATTCAATTTCAAACGTAAAACTTGTGGGTTGGCAAAATAATTTTGTCTCACTCACTAGATTCTGTCTCTCTCAAGCGCAAATGTCTTCAAATGTTCGATCAATTGTCTGACCACCAATCTAAACCCCAGATATTCAATTTGCGGTTCTGTGTTTTAAAGTAAAGCATCAAATTCTTGCATTTGAAAGGTGAAAAGGGCAAATTGATAGTTATATTGGTAGTTTTGATTAAAATGGACTAAAAGCATTATTTGATTATCAAAACTAATTTTCTGCCAATCGACTAAACGATTAATTGTTTTAGTTATATTGACCTTTAGCCTTGAAGATATTTTATTGCACCAGTCACATAACCTACCAGTCAAAACGGGACATTAATGTGTTGTATTTGAGATTTGACTCAATTATATAGTCTTCTGGCACCTGGTGACTGTGATATCGCACTATCCCCATAAATAAAAGAAGCGCACCCCTCTGAGAGCTACTCGTGAAGGATTGCTGCTCTTCTCCAATTGAAAAGGTTGTTTCTGCCTACGAGTCTCTACCCGCCAATGTAATTGGGCCAAAGGCGGGGAATGGGGCAGGACCAAGCATGGTAGGTTGTATCCCTGAGTATGATTGACGTTGGGTTATCTGTTTTCCGCTCAAAAGGCGCCATGAGTAAACATGTTCACATAAACAGTGGTGGAGAAAGGGGAGATCCCTTTCTCCTGTGATATTGTCTCATCATTCAGCAGTGAAAGGATGAAAAGGCTCAACTCTTGCCTTGAACACGGAGGTGAGGAACGAAGAAGGCGGACTGCTGGGTATTTAAGTCTTGCCTCCGTGGCCACTGGCCACTCCCTGGTGGCGCCCTGTGGGTTGGGAAACAGCAAGGAGGCGGGAGGAGTCAGCCAGGGTGGAGGAGAAGAGACCCCATCACAGTCACACACTGGCTGTAACCGCGCTGGGAGGAGAAAAATGGCTCGCTTGTGGGAGGGCTTTTATTATAGGGATGTATGAGGGGGCTGTCAGTGAAGCAGCACATGTGCCCATGTAAACAGGCCGGAGGGTGGAGTTCATCCTCAAGCCGGGCCTGCATCCACCCAACTCTGTCTGCAGTCAAACACTGATGTTTCATCAGTCTGTTTCTCCTAAAGCTATTTATCTCATTCATCCCCAACAGTACCCCTGCACAGTATAAGGACTAATAGTGTAATCTTTCATTATACAGTGCTTGGCTCCCAGTATACCATCCTCTAACTTACCTTAGCAGTGATTGAAAATTTGTTTACATCATTTGTTGAGCATGTCAGTTCATCCTGGAAGAAACATGCCTCCTCTGTTGCACGGTCTGAGGTTTCTTCCATTTTTTGGTGTTAGCTTTTTTGGGACTGGAGGGTCTACAGACAAAGGATGTCATGTACTGTACAGCTTTTTAACCCCCTTGAGGCCAATTAGTGACATAATCCTGGGCTTTAAAAATAAAATTTTATTTCACCTGATTTAAATAAAAGTACCAAATATTACAATGCAAAATACTCCATGACAAGACATAGTCCTGCCTCGAAATGTCACTCAAGTAAAGGTATTTAAGTAGGAAAATGTAAGTAAAGAATCAAACATAAAATAACTCATAATTCAGAAACTGGCTCATGTGATGGTCAAATATCATATTGCTGGATCATTAGTAGCATTAGCTCCAGGTGGAGCTAATTTTTCTTGTTTTATATTCAGTTGAGTAGTTTGACCTGTAGCAGTGTATCATACTTGATATTTTCATTGTATGTTTTGTGTGTAAAAATCTGTAAAGTATCAAGTAAATAAAGCTGTTATATGAATATATTGGAGTAACAAGTATAAATATTTCCCTCTGAACTGCAGTGGAGTAGAAGCATTAAGTATTGAATTTGAAAGCTCACTTTTGTATTGTTGAAAGGAAGAAGTGTTGTATAATTAAGGGAAGAATTGGGCTGATTGATTGATTTATTATCAGCAAAATGTATAAAATATTTTTAGCTATTTTAAAAACCTTTGGGTAGTTCATCCATAAACTCATACAATCGTAACCTGCAAACTATAACTGTCAAATGCAGTGGAGTAAAAAGTACTTTATTTTCCTTTGAAATGTGGTCAAGTGGAAGTATGAAAGAAAGACAGAATGACAGAAATGCTCAAGCAAAGTTGTACAATCTTCATAGTGAACTAAAGAAAAAAACGCAGATGTTATTACTGACCTGTAACTGATCTGTAAGTTTTTAGTACGCTTAATAAGTTATTAATCATTAATAAACCCATTTGTTACAGCTTATAAACCCTTTATGGATGACTTAGCAGCAAAAAGTTTATGTGAAAGTTTATGGTGTATGACCTGCTTCATGTACAAAACTATCACAGAGAATGATGATTGTCAGCTGCAGGGTCTTTGATGAAGGTTTCCATATTTCATGTTTTGGGGTATATACAATACACATACACATACTTAAGATACCTCAAATCAAAATGCATGACATTAGAGTACTGAAAGGCATTTTTAAAGTTCTTTTCCTGCCTATTGGAGGTCACAGTTTGCCTACCAGACAAATAACATTGTTGTTGAGATTATAATCTTTTCAAATGTGTAGTCAACCTTTACCTTCTGACATTTCCAGCAACAGCTTTCAGTCTGTCAGCTTTTGTTTCTGCAGGATGTGTCGCAGCTGCGTCCCGCGCTGATAAAACTGTTGTATTTCATGATCAGATGCAAAGTCACTTCCTACAGTTAGCTCTCACACCGTCCCCTGCCAGGAGGATCCGTGCAGATGCAGCCTGACAAATGACCGGCGAGCATCTCTTCAGAGGAAATTCCCCCTGAAACTCGTCATCGTACATTTATCATTGAAAACCCAGAGCAGGCTTGAAGCTGTTACAGGGTTTGCTGAAGACTGCAGATTAGTTTCACACAGCTCAGCCTGCGACAACAGGAAACGAGAGAAAAAGCGCCACTGACGCAGAACTGAAACCTGCATCGGTGAAGGTAAAGCTGCCTTTCTTCTGTTAACTGTTTTCGCTCTTAAGCTTTTCACAGCTGAAGTCTGAACAGGCATATTTAATTCAACTGACAGTTAATACAACCTATAATAGACATTGAGAAGATTATTTCTTATTAATATGGATGACATTATACAATGGCAGACTTTATAATCGAAGGAAAAACTGGGAAACATTCATCTATATTTTCAGAAAGGTAGCCTATATAACCATAATCAGTATAAGTCATTTATGTCTTATGTATGATGCATGATCTATTCCTTAAAATTTTATTGATCTAAACTAACAGTTGTTTGGCTTGACTTATATATTAGAATTACAGTAATAAGGACTTTCAGTCAGCCATTGATTAAATTTATGTTTTTATTAAAATGGATTTGGATAGATCTATCTGTCACTCTGTGTCTGTATTTGTCTTTGTATATCTTCCCTCCTTTACCCAGTGTCACTTTACATGTTTCAGCTACCATCTATGTACTTTAGATATATCTTATTTTATGTTTATACTGCTGTATGCTCTTTATTGCACCAGGGTTTTTCATTCACCTGTACATGTTTCAAACTTAATATTTTTATTTTTTGTCAGCTTTTTAAAGTTTTGTGAGTTCTACTATACTCAGTATTCATTTTAACTTTTTTTTTTTTTTTTTTTTTTTTTTTACACTTAAAATGACACATTAACTTGAACTTTACCTTGAGGCTGAACGTCAGAGAATGTCATCCATCGTAACATGTCTGTCTGAAAAAGAGTTGAACGTGTTTTATTAATTGTTTTAATTTCACACTGTAGTTTACTGTTGGTCCAACTTGTCAAATAATGCAGTTTATGAGGAAGCAAAGCACACTCTCTAGGGAAGCTTTAATTTAAAAAAATATATCAACACATAATAGCTCCAAACTATCATTGACTTCAATGTGAAAGTGGTATCCGTCTCAGCCTCTGTAAAAAAAAAAAAAAAAAAAAAGAAAAAAAAAAGAAAACATATTGTCTGCATCTCAGGCTCGGCCCTTGTGTCTCTGTAGCTTCAGTTTCACTATGTCCTCCCGGCTGTCTGTGACTTGAGGCGATGGAGAGCCCGTCCTCCACTGTGAGGCGGCGAGCCTGGATCAACAGCAGCCGACAGTGGCCCACTCTGGAGGAACTGGACCCCGAAGGGCCGCTGTGCAGCCTCCCGTCTGCCTCCATAGCAGACGACGATGTCTTTTCCGATGGTAAGTGCAAACTAAGGAGAGTGTGAGAGATCCACCCACACATCTGTCCAAACAAATGATAAATTGACCCTGAGGGAAGTAGTGAGGGATTTTGTAACCAGTTTATCAGAACTTCTATTATTTCACATATATAAAATAAAAGAAATTGCATAAATGATAAAATGTTGGATCACTTCTTCTTTTAGAGATGGCATAATTTACAAGATTACTTCAATACAATCAGAGGTTCCACTTTTTCATAACATAATATGTGCAAAGTTACTGTAGACAGGATGGGTGTTTGTTTAAAAACTGATATAAGAACCTGCGGAGTTGTTTATTTAATGAGGATTACTCATAAGCTAAGTGCTGCACATTTATGATTTCCACAGGATGCTTCACAGGAAAGATTGAGAACTGGCTCCTGCGTTGTGGGTGAGTCAGTTTGCTTTTCTACTTTTGTCTTTGTAAGATGGATGTAAGATGATGTTTTTTGAGCACAGACTCTTGCCGGCTCTGAAGGACAAGGTGTCAGACACTGGAAACCGATTTAACAAACAAAAGCAAGTAGAAAGTGGAAACCTTCTGAGGTCAGGTTTTCCAGGAAGACAGCGCAGGAAGGTAGACGCTGTATTGTTTTCACCACAATAGCCTAAGATGATGCATTTTTATAATTCCATCGGAAATATACGCTTCTTTCATTTCTTAAAAGCCATGATATGAGACTGCTTCGAACTGACTTTGTCTGATGTTATCTAGGGCACGGCTCTCACAACACACAGCTTTTGGAGCTTGTGTTGAATATGTTAAAGATGTTTTTTCTCAGGATAGATGCAAACTTTTCAAGCAGTCTTCCAGCCCTGAGGCTGTTACACCAACAAATCACACAACCTAAGCCCTTTTCTCTAAATTTCATTGTGGTTTAAAATAATAGTTACTGAAATAACAGTTCCTTTTTCCTCTAATGGAACTGATTGAAGGAAAGAGGTCAGCTCACAGAGACGTTATTTAACGTCTCCTGTATCAGTCATTGAAAAGTAAGCTGCACTGCTAGTAATCAGTGAGGTACTACATACAGTGTGTGTGCGTATGTGTGTGCGCGTGCGTGTGTGCGTGCGTGTGTGTGTGTGTCGGCATCTAAATGGCTCCTTACACTGTGAAATAGAACATTAAAAAAAGTGGTGATGGTTTTTGCATGCCGAGAAGTTGATAGGGAAACGACCAAATTGGTTTGGAGGTGTTGACCATAGTTCTGCTCAGCATGTGAACATTTCTACAGGAGGAAGTTGACAGACTTCAGCAGCCTGTTAAGGGCTGATTAGAGAGCAGATGTGAATGATTCTCACAGTCATCCGCTGGAGATAGACTGCTATCATATGCAAACGCATTCACCTATTTGATAGAAGAAACATGCAGATAACGCTGAATGGGTATGTGTCTGTTGGTTTGTATATATGCATTAAATATTGAAATATGTTTGATAGGTCAGAGGCCTGCTCAGAGAATACTGGCCAGCTGAGTTTTGGTGAGTATGAACTGAAATAAAGCTTTGTCATGAATAACAACCTATCATTTACCACAAGTCAGTTTTGTAATTAACATACTAACTGTAATTGCAAATCAAATATAAACAGTTCAAAAATACACTTTCCTTTTGTCTTTAACCCTGTTTCTGTAGAGGAAGTATTCTGATCCTTTACTTAAGTAAAAGTAGCAAGACTTGCGATATAAGCATATCACAACAAGTATTATTAGCAAAATGTACTTACAGTATCAAAAAATAAAAGAACACATAATTCAGAAAAATTGTCTGTGTGAGGGTTGTGCTATTAAATATCATAGTGGATCATTAGTAGCATTTTACTTAAGTAGCAGCTTGTCAGGGTGGAGCTAATTTAATCATCTTATATTTTGTAGAGTATATTAAGCTGAAGTATAACCTGTAAACAGCGCATCATATTTGATATGTTCTACCTCAAATTTAAGTACTAACTTAAGTACAGTACTTAGGTAAATTAACTTTGCATTTCACACACTCAGAAATGAACATATAATGTGCAACTAGATATGAAAGTACTAAATCAATGATTGTCCTCTCTTCAGAGTCTGTGCTCAAAGCCAACAACTTAGACGATGACCTGAGTCTTGGTGCTGATGGTAAGTACACACACACACACACACACACACACACACACACACACAGACAGACAAAGGAAACTAACAAAGCAGGAAATGTTCTTATAGGAAAATGAGGTGTGTATCATGCATGTTTTTTATTCTCTGCTCAAGCTTTGTTATAGCGTTGAGTGACACTGGTCCCCTTACGCAAATCAACTGTAATATCACAGAAAAGTCAGGTGTTAGACAGTTTTACTGCACCTCTGTCAGGAGGATTTTTTTCAGTAAGTGTAGGTCAGAAAGTTATTTTTTGTCAACAACCTCCATAAATGTGGGTGTTTATGCTCTGTATTTGAAATGTTATGACATTTGCCATATCATATCAGACGTACATTATTTATAGCAAAAAAAGAAGTTACATAATAGTTATTGCAAGGTCAAAACATCAACTTATCATTTTTAGTGGTGAGAATAAAATCTATGGGTGTAACAGCAGAGTACAGAATTGCATAATGCCTTTAATATAATCGCTTAGTAAGTACATCTTGTGGTGCAAAAAATATTTCTTATATTACAATCTGTATCAGTTCACCTTTTCTACATATGACTTCAAATTCATCCTTGAGTGGCATGCTGGTTGGAGTTTTGCTTTACATCTGCAGCTGTTTGACAGTTTAATGTGAACATCACAAAGTGAAAATGAGAGGACCTGGAAGTGCTGTGATGTTAAGTGTGTAGGATTTATTGGTAGAAATTGGATAAAATCTTCAGAATTATGTTTTCATTAGTGTATAATCACAAGAAACTAAGAATCATTGTGGGTTTTTTTTTTTTCTTAGAATGAGCCTTTCATATCGAAAAGGGAGCAGATCCACGGTTGCACCGCCATGTTTTCTACAGTAGCCCAGAACAGACAAACTAAACACTTCCTCTAGAGAGGGCCTTTAAGGTTTCTACGTTACCTGAAGGCCACCGTAGGTTCTTCTTCATGCTTGGAGAGCGAGGAATGAGGGGAGACGTATTGAATCGGTTGCTTTCTGCAACCTCACCACTAGATGCCACTGAGTCCCGCACACTGGTCCTTTAATCTAACTTTCACCAGGGTAGCTCACCCAAACACGTACAGATATTTGTATAGGCGTAAATTTGTAAATTAACTGTGAAACCAGCAACCTGATGCGTATCAACACACTTCTCTTTCATTCATTGTTTCAGCTTCTTTGTTAAATGGAGGAGGAATTTCACGTGAAGCTGGGTGAGTAGAATCTGTAAAGTTATCGTTGCAGTGACAGTGAAAGAATAAAACGCAAGAGACAAGGAATGTACTGTTGAATAAGTGAATAATATGAATCCATCTTGCTTTAATCATTAGAGGCCTCTGTATTTTTAAGCCCATGTCCTACTTTCTGAACAAGAGCACAATTTAGGAGAGAAATGAACTTTCTTTGATGTTTCTCAAGTTTTAGTCAGATGTGAAACTATATGAGTAAGTCTGTTCACTGACATTTTTATTTCCTGGGTACACCCATGGCCACTGAGTTGTTTCTTTTGAATATGATTAAGAAGTGTGAATATAATTTATCACTTGAATGTTGGCTACAATACAGTCCATTTTTGCACTTCTTTTAGTTTTGAAAGAATTTGTGAAGACATGGGACTTTCTGAACTGACTAAAGGAAGTTAAAAGAATGTTGTTATTTTTCCTCCTTTTCTCCCTCTATGCTGACCGTGAAGCCCCGCACGGCGTCCTTCCCTGAAACAACAACACAGCAGACTCAACAGCAGGTCAGTGACAACCTGCGAACAGATCAGATGATAAAGTTGTACTGACATCAAATTATTTTCATCGGAATTTTTCTGTAAAGGAAATGTTTTAATTTTTTTATTTTTGGAAATGTACATCAAGAACAGAGTCAGGCTTTGTGCTTGCTTGTCAGCTGACTTGTCTTTGATTACATGCTGAAGCACAACTGTAGGTTTTGCCTTAATATTGATCTAATTTGTGGGTCATATGCAACATAACTTTTCATGTCTTGTCTACAGCACCCCTCGTACTGGACTATGTCCGCCGTCACTGAACTTGGGCCACAGCATGGCCTCCAGCTGCCTCTCCTCCTCCACCTGTAAAACAACATCAAGGTGAGGCTGCAACACTTTCACAAGGTTCACTACTCTGTAGTTCTGCAGACTCATCACCAGCAGTTTTTTACTCTTGAATGACCCACTTGACAAGTTGCAGATTTCCAAATCTGTCGTCTTCCGTAACATTTTTCTTTTTCTGGCCTTTACCTGACTTTTACCTGAATAACCGAATAGTACAGTGCGTTCCATTTTTATCCTATTTATTTGTTTCTCCCTTTCTCCCACGCTTACAATAGTGTGTCCGAGATCCTGCAGATGTGTTCTGAGGATGCAGAGGAGACGTTGTATGAGCTGGGTTTCGGCTGCGATGAGCCACAGGTCACTGTTCGCATCCCTCCTCGCTTCTTCACCTTCCCCTCTCAGGCTCAGGGCATCAACTTCCGCCTGTTCTTGGATGCACAGCTACGGCGGATACGAGAGGAGGACCCCAGCCTCTCTCTTGCTAGTAAGACTATGGATTTATTAAATCCCTCTGCCGTAGGTTATCTTTGTCATGTGATTTGTGTTATATTGTTTAATGTGTGATAAGGTGAATTCATTCTGGGATGTAGAAAATGAGCTCCATATAACTTGGTTTGATTTACATTTTATTCTTTCCACAGGCCGTTTCAGACAAGTCCAAGTGCTCACAGCAATGGCCAACGCTTTTTACTCCCTCTACTCCCACGTGTCCCGCACCCCTCTTCAGAAACTCGCCACGCCGGAGTTCACTTTCTCGTCTCCCGTGGAGAGGATCGAACGCTTCAGGAGCAGTGTCCGCAGTGAGCCGCGTTCTCCGGTGGAGAGGCTGAAGGACACCGTCTCCAAGATGTGCCTCTACACAGGCTCTCCTCGCGGGTCAGACTCCACCTCTCCGCAGCCCTCACCCAGGAAAAGGTCCAGCCTCCCTGATGTTGTGGATATAGTCCTGGTGAAAGCCAAGACCGGGGCTTCCAAGAAACTGGAATTGGGGGAATATACCAGGAGTAATTCAGCTGTAGATGTTCGGCTAGTCACGGATGATGATAAATCCTGTAACAGATGGAGAGAAGAGCAAACACAGCAGACCGTGGTGGACACGGACATCCTTCAGAATGGAAATAAAATCTGTCACAATGACATGCATAGCAGCAAACAAACAGATAATGATGACGCTGATAAAAACAGTGTCCGACCAACAGACACTGACAGCAGGACTCACAGTCTGAGAACATCTCTAGCCTCAACCTTATCAGGAGATACTGTGATAGAAACAGATCATCACTTTCTTTCATGTCAGGCTGAGCAGATCTCATATTCCACACAAAGTGATACAAGGAGAGCTGAGCTAAAGCCTGTTGCCAAGGTTACGTATGATCGAATCTGCCCGCAGATAGTCGAGAGCGTGCACCAGGCGCCTTTCTGCTCTCAGCACACACACAGCCCAAAAGCAAACACATTACCTCTTATCTGCTCTGAGACAGAAAGTCCTGGATCACACAAACCCCGTGTACAAAGCCCTATCTCTGGGCCTGATGTTGCCTTTTCAGGAGAGGCCAGATTGGCTGATACATCCGGACCACTTCCTGTCCTGGCCTCCAATGCCAACCATACCCATTACTGCATCACCGTGACTGGCTGGGAGGGGGACGATGCCTCTTCCTGTTCCTTGAACACGCCAGATTCCAGCCATACTTCTACTGTCCCTCCTGTCCAGACATGTGAGGAGTACTTGAACAGGGGGAAAAGCCAGTACCTGAATCCACTGACACATCGGGGCCTGGGGGATTTCTCCAGTAACGTAAAACAGGCTAACTCTTTTGATCTGGAGGAGGTACGGTCATGAAACAATACTACTGCACATGTTCAGGAATGTAAAGCTGCAACATTGGTGGCAAAAAATAACCTTGACATATTTTTGTTTATTACAAATTGTGATGTTATAAAAGAGAAATACAAATTTGACATACTCTGAAAGAAAGGGACCTCATCTGTAAATGGGTCAAAGAAACAGGGTGAAAGAATTTAAGAGAAAAAAAAGGAGAGTTCATGTTATTATTGTTCAGTTTAAACAATCATCCTACTGTAGTTATAGACTCTTTTTCCAGTGGCTGGTGTTGGTTCAGGTTACTGACTAATATTTTTCTTTCTTTTGTTTTACTTTATACTTTTACCAGGAAGCCCCACTGAGATAAAAAAAAATCTCTTTTACAAGACAGACCTGGCCAAGATGGCAGCCATACAACGCACCACATTTTAAAATACAGCATAAAACATAAGATTTCACATATACAGCATGACAGCAATTTAGGCTCAATGGCCTTTCAAGAAAAACAACTACATGTCTCATTTACCACATTCATGGCTACACTGTCAACACAGTTTTTTTCAACAGTTTATTCCTTCGTTTGTAAGTTCTCAGAATGATTTTGATAGGTCATTCGTCAAAAAAGCGAAGAATGATTTGCAAAACCGGTAAACAAGATGTGATTCGATCAGGCTAAATAACAGTAAGCTATTTATCAGATGGATTAAACAGTTCATCTCTAATGATACCACTGACCCACTGATATTCTATCAGTAAAAAGGTTTACATAGTGTACTATGATGCAGATGATCTCAGAACATGTTTTGTGATTATGTAACAATGTGACATTGGTGATGAAACAATGTATTGTTCAGCCCCAGTGTTATACAGATTTTCTTAATATTGTTTCCTAATCATTCAAGAGTCACAGCAGACACACAGTATATAATAACTGCTTTATACTTTTGTCTCAATAGCTGCATAGTGCGGGAGAGGAGGATTATGGACAGACTGATGCTACATTGTCCACAAAACGTCAGTACAAAGGTACAGTGTATTTATTTTTTCTTTGTGTGTGAGTGACATATTTTGCATGAACACAGAAGGTCGCGGTCAGAAGTTACAGCTGTTGCTTTGGTACACTGTAGTCATGCTTTACGGGAACATGACTCGTCATAATTTTAAAATGGCTGTTTACACTGATAAGCAGTTCGTGTGGCCAGCAAATACTGACTGCATTCACGCTGTTCACCCTGTTTAAATGATTATAGTGAAAAATTAAAATAAAAAATGCATGTTGTCAGTTCATGCTGTAACAGCCACTGTAACCAGAGTGCATCCCGCTTTCTCAAAGTGTTTACACAAAGACGTTTGCAGAAATACCAGGCATATTCTTTTGGTGAATTTCAATAAACGATTTATGCAGAAAAGCTCGATGTGTGAGTATGAAAATGAATTCATCAGGAAAGGGAGGTTTCTCGCTTTAAGTGTATACAGGTCACTGCGCAGGTGGATTTGTCACTGGGAACAAACTGAATGTGCCTTTGTGTATCTATTCAGGTCAGACTGCAGCTGCACATGTGCGATGGTATACAGCGCATGGAGTCGTTTGCTTGACTGTGCTCGTGTCCTTGTGTCCCTGTCTAGGTGAGGTTGGCCGGGGCGACAGCATGCAGTCAGACAGCAGCGGCTATGCAGATGAAGAAGTCAGTCCCTCATCAGACAGACACGGGAGATGACAGGAAAACACAGAGCTCCATGTAAACAACGTTCAAAGTAGTGTTTGGAAAGTGCGTCCACGCAGGGACCGACAGTCAAACAGGCCCAAAGGAGTCAAATGTCATGTTTTTGTAAGAGACTTACACCACATGTGAAGCTTTCGGAGGCTTTACACTGAAGAAGCTTTTTCGCAATAAGGAACATTTCTGCAAAGCATTACATTCTCCCCCAGTGTTCATTCTGAATACAGAATATTGTAAATAAATAAAACATTTAAGTTGTTTAAAGCCTTTGATGAAATGCTGTGTGGATCATATTTGAATAAGTCAATCTGGAATTACAGCATATGTTCAATTTATTACAATAACAGTTTGCAGTAAATTTACAAAAAAAGAAAAAACAAAAGTCAATTTCACATGGAGCTCGCACTGTAGTTTACTGTTTAAAAAAAAAAAAAAAGAAAAAAAAAAAAACGGGCATCATTTTCTACTATGACAAAGAAGTCTATCCCAGAATAATTAATAATGTCAGCACCTAAAATTCACTAAAAACCTGTTGACTTCCTTTTTTCAGTAATCAGAAAACCAATATGCAGATCTGCCTTTTCAGAGAAAATGAGGTCAGTATTACATCACACACACTGTACTTGATACCAGACAGAGTTGATGTGCAGAAACATGGTCAGCCTGCAATGTGCAAAGGACATTATCTTTTCTAGTAGTGCAAACTGTTTACTATATTCAATACTTATGTGCAAGGCGGTATATCGACAGATATGCAGCTACTGTAAAAGAGGTGGTAATGAAACCTCACACACAGACACAGGTAGTCTGAGAATATGATCTGGAAAATCACTATCATCAGTTTTCAAATGTCATCACAGGAAATACAGTCACACTGACAGGAAAAAAGAAAAAACATAAATTATAAATGAGACAATACTGGGCATAACAAACTCTAAAGCGTTCTTCAGTTAATTACTTTCAAACTCCACACAAGAAGATGTGGTAGCTTTAGTTGTCTGGTTGATGATATTGAACATTGAAAGTAAGCTTGATGATCCATTAGTTACAACAATTCTTCATCAGAAGACTCACAGTAATTTTTAAGCCCTTTGTCTTACACAGAAATGGATTTACGAAGGTCCTAATGCAAAGACTGGAAATTAAAATAAGGGTAATAGAGAAAATTTTTTGATGCTGTTTGCACATTCGGGAGTGAAATGAACCAGTAGAAGCAGATTTTAAATTTAACTGTAATATTATTTCAACTATGCTCACAATTAAAAGACGTGGTATTCTCTCATAATCTTCATAAATGGAAAAGCTTCTGATGATTGTGTTCAGAGTACCTCGCAGGGAATTCTACAAGGGCAAAATTTACAAAAAATGTTATAAGGGCAACTCATATAATTTTCCATCCCCTGAGTCTACTGATCTTCCTGACAAATCTACTTCAGTAAATGCCAAAGAATAACATGATTACAAAGGGTTAATTTCAAATAAACCTGATAAGTTCAAAATGTGTGTTAGATACAGATGAAATAGTCAGTTTTAACTGTTTTTCAGATGAGAGGGGAAAAATGCCCAAAATACAAAACTTTAAGGCCAAACGTTAAGAACATCACAGAGACAAACAGTTTGAGTTTCAGGGGTTCAAATTAATATACAAGAGAAGCCACATTTTTCAAGACTCATACAAGCTCATGTGTAAAAAGGGGCAGTCTTTAAAACAATTATCCTCTGATATTTATTCAGCAGAGTCTCTTTCTCTATGTTTCAGCTGCATGGCTGTAATTTTTTCGTCCATCCATGAGATTACTGATTCCATAGCCCAATTTCTATAAACCTCTTTGACCTTTTGCACTTTTTTGTTGCACCAGACCCCAGTTTTTTTGGGAACTGATTCCAAAAGCACCATTTAAAATTTCAGGTATACTTTTTTTTTTTAACTCTAGATTTTAGGAAAACACGGCGCTGTGTATGGATGACAAGCAAAAACTAAAATACTGACAATGCATTTTAAAATAATTTGTTACAAATATGCAAAATGTCAAGGAGAGGAGTATATATATGAGTTTTTTGGGCAATTAAAATGTCCGTGGGCGACAATTACAAATCAAAGTGACCAAAAAAGGGCTCCAGGGGTGAATTTGGGGACAGAAAACGTCTCTATTTCCAAATCTGAGGTGATTCACGGTTATTTGAACTCATCACAAAAGTGCCTTCCGTCATCCAAAGTGGAAATTTATCCAGGCAATTTGTAGTTGCGAGTTCTAGTCTTTGAGGAGGTAGATGGCATTACTTCCCTCCAGCCATGATTTTGAGGTACTGCAGTGCATTGTGGGCGGCGTTGGCTCGAGCGGCGTCTATGCTCGGAGCAAAGCCGTGGCACACTGTGATTGGCTGTGTGGACAGCTCCACTAGACACTGGCACAAGCCGCTCAGGCTGCGCTCCTCTGAAACAAGAAAGGACAAGAATGTTGAAAAGCATCACCACAGATAAATAATGACAGATCTAATGCTACAAAACTGAGAAAACCAAGCAACTCTTAATGCTGAAACCGTTTCTACTCCATTGAATTGGAATTGATTAATTCTTGGTTAATAGATAAATGATATGTACTTAAATGTGTTAATCTCTTAAGATTTATATCAGGTTACTGGTTCCTCGCAAGCACCCCGTACAAATATTTTAACAAAACTTTAATTTTATAATTTAATTGTCTGTCAGTTAATTAGTCCTAAGTTTTAACAACTTGGTGGTTCCCCTGCACTACACTGTGACAGCATGCACCTGCCGGCTACTTACTCCATATCTGATCACAGTGGTAGTAACCACACAGCATGTTACCATCAAAATGTACCCATGATGCTCTGCAAGCCTTAGTTTGTGCAGGTGTTGTAAACTAGATATGAAAGCAGTGAGAGCATGCTCCTAACTGAAACGCAGCTCTTCATACATCCGCTCAACCTTTCACTGCAGTCAAGAATGTGGTGCCCATCAGAGGTAAATGTCACCGTAATTTATTCGAGTGTTGCCGTTTGTGAACTCACCTAGGTCCAGGTAACTGACGTCAAAGCGCTGCTCGGCAGACAGGTCGCTCAGCAAGGAGCAGAAGTTGGAGTCGGAGGGCATGCCCAGAGGATGGCTGCGGAGCTGGAGGATCTTCTCTCCGGCAGAGTTACGCAGAGAGTCCCACGTGCAGCTAAAGCCTTTACTTTTGCCCGACTCAGCTCTGTTCCCCATGTGCTGTGTGAGCAGGAGAGATGAATTTACACTATTATTATTACCTGTCAGGAAGATTGATGAGTAATAAAAGGGGTAATGGGGTGTCAGGTGCATATTTGAAGGCCAAACGACAGGATGTAGGACACATTATTAAGCACTATGTGATGCAAATATAATATTTGCATGCCATTAAGGGGACATAATTGAGGATGTAGTAAGTGCTTAGGTTTTAGTCACATATTATTCAGCGAGGTGCCAAATAATTTAACATACAGGATTCCTGTATGCTTTGTCAGCTGGTGCACAGAGAAGTTTTGTTTCTGTTTGTTTCTCACCATGGTGAATGTGTCATCTTCTGTGTCGGCGTCGTTGCTGGTCCTCAGGTCTACCGGCACGTCATGTATACGCGATAACATCTTAGCTGCAGCATTTCTCTTGGCTAGCTTCTTGGACGTACCACTTCCTATAGATAAACTGGAAAGTATCAGTCATGTTGCACAAGTAATGACTACTGATTGGTAACTAGTCTGACCTGATGATTGCCACTCACTAAGACTTTATAAGCAACTAAAGAGCATGCCTGTATATCTTGTGAAATGGGAATTTTAAATTTCCGTCTATTAGCGGCAGCCTCAAGTTGTGCCAGAGAACAGTCAATGCTGCTGTAATTCATGTATCAAGAGTGGCGGTCCATAAAGGTCACCAACTACACAACACCCATGTAAAAGGGAGTACATATGATTTTTTCATGATCAATAAGCTGTTTTCTCTCAGCATTATTTCAGAAGTAGCATGTGTCATCACTGACAGTCAACTGCATGGTATTCATGAGAAGAGGGTACATGCGGCTTGTTAAAAAAAAAATTTAATATCATGAAATGAGGAAGAAAAGAGATAACAATCTGAAAACACACACAACACGCACATTCGCGGAATGAAAAATGATGCATTTTACCGATTTCCACGAATCTCTCAACTCTGCAGGTCATGGTGAACTCTTTGCGATGTGCTGGACCAGACTCCTGAGTGACTGTGTACTCTGGCAAACGCCATCCTTTCTGCACCACCAGTTCCTGGCAGAGAAGAACACAGACAAACACAAACTGTACAATGAAAGGATTATAACAGCAGCAAAAAGGCCATAAACTACAAACAATGCAGATATTGTTATTTGGACAAACTGGTAAGGACTGTTGGAACAATGAAAGTACTGATTCGAAGAAAATCAAACTACAAAATCAAACTTTAACTACAGTAGTTTTCTCTGTTTAATTACCTGCAGAGCCCCGACAGGGTTACATTCAGACTGCTGAGAACTGCCTGAGCTCTTCATCTCTGACTGGGAGCTGCACAGAAGATAAGAGATAAAACAACTCAGAGGAGGAAATAATGAAAACACACACTCATTTACACTTACATTTGTTCAATGTTGAAATATTCTATATATCAGGCAGATGACAAGCCATTTGATGTATAGAGCATATCGAGATGTTATTTTGGCTGCAACATCAGCTGATGCTGGATCCACACAGTTTTTTTCATTATATAGATCATTATAGCTTCAAAGTATATGTTTAATTTTAACTGTAGGGCTAGTGGCAAGAAATGAAAAATAAATAAATAAATAAATAAATAAATACGATGCTCACCCATCTCCATCAGTAGACACGTCAACCCCAATAAACCCGTCTACTCCAACACCAACTCCGGCAGGACCTCCGAGACCTCCTTTGAGCATCTTCAGAGCAGCCTCGGCTGCTTTGTGCTTGGCTGCCTTCTTGCTGGGCCCTTGGCCGGTGCAGCTGATCTCTCCGACGGAGACGCGGAAAGTGAAGTTGGGCTGGTGGGCCTGTCCCTCGGCCTTCAGCAGGTCATACACTGGGGTCTTGCCTATCCGCGTTCCATACTCCTGCAGCAGACTGATGGGCGTCTTTCCGGGATTCACAGCCAGCATTTGCTCAATACTGAACAAAAGAAAACCCAGAGCATGAGATGGACTGTTGACTGCAGCATGTGATGCAGTGAGTTTTTGTCCTTTTATATATATTTATATATTTTACCATTTTTTCTAATGCTAAAATGTATGCACTCACTTCAATTACAAAAGACATCTGAATCAGAGACTTCTCCCAACAGCTCAATACAACAGAGTTGAAGGGAGTTTTAGTAGTACTTCCAACTTGTGTCTCTCCAGAAACAATGTCCTGGTTACACAAATTGGGAAAAAACTCACTGTGAAGTTGAGTCAAAAATTTCACATATCTCCTTTGTATTGTGGTAACAGAGACTGCAGCAGCAGATATGAACCTGATTATATCCACATGGTTATCCAGAGGGATGACTGAGAAAAACGTTTTTATTGTGATTTTAGGTGAACTGACTCTCTGAATGAGTAATTTCATACACAAAAGCAAAGATTTATGGAGAGATGCTCCTATGGGGGAAAATGCAAGAGTTTTCAAGTCTATGCACTGACATCTGTCTGCATGAGCAGTACAGATTGCAATCTGTAATCAATGCAGTAAATTGCTTTTTGAGTTTGTGATCTGAGCTTTTTAAAGGACTGAGGACACTGCTACAGGTTACAGTTACATATTAGGCTACACATGTCTAATAGCACCTGCAGGTTTCTGTGCCTATCTATATTCAGTAATGCAGTAATCACACAGTGATCAACAGGTCCAGCTTCCATGGATCTAATATTCATCAATCAACATGATTACAGTTCCCCTAATCAGTTACACTCAGACCCAAAACTGGCATCTTGTTTTGTAGCTAGCTGAGTAAAGTTTGCACTGACTAAGTTGCAGCATGTTAGAAAGAATTACAACCAGCTGTTTAGTAGCACCCGTTCAGAAAATCTTCTAATAGAAGGATGTAATGGTCAGTGCTATGTTAGCTTAGCTTCTGTGCAGCTTCACCTGGAGCACCCGGAGTTTCTCTTCCAGCTGTCCGATGCTGTCTCGTCGTTCATTCCCTATTTCACGCAGACAGAGCCGATCGGTTTCGGATGGCAAATCCCCCCACCAAAACACACACTTTGCTTTTCATTAGACGGTATTTTCCCAGACAGATGATTAGGCAGCGACATGTGAAGAGCAGACGCGGCGCCCTCTGCTCCGACAGAAAACAGATATGACGTATGACGTATCCCGGCGAAACTCGAACTCTCATTGGTCCGAGGAAGCCGTGGGTTAGTTTGGTTTGAACACCGGGAAGCACCGAGGCAGAGTGCATGTTACCAAGGCAAAAGGCACTAGCAGGTACCCATGTGCAGCTGCAATAGAAGCAGGTGAATCCACTGGTGGAAAAAAGCACCACTGTCACTAAAATATAAAATGTAATGTATTCCGCTGAAAGTACAACTCTTCCATTCAAAAATGTGGATAAGGTAGAACTAATGTACAAACCTAGCTTACCTGCCGTTAGCTAGTACGTTAGCTAGAGCAGTAAAATTAACTTTCACGATCTAACTGTTGCATTACGAAAACAAACTTAACGAGTGTAACATTATTATTATTACTTTATTTCTTTTTGCAGCCAACTAAAAGCTTCAAACTGCTGCTGTCAAACAACTGCATCGAATGAAAATGTACCACAAAATGGACGTTTTCAAGTAAGTACCCGTACCAATTGTACTTGAGTAAGTGTTAATTGTTTCTGCCTTGTTTTGTTGGCTAATCTTGGTTTTGTTCAGCGTGTGAGCAAGTAATTATCCCACAGTTCATGTTTTCTCCGTGGGGTAGCTAGTTTAACTTCAGTTTTTTTTTGTCTGCTCCTCAATTATAGGCTATAGCAATAAAAAGAAAAGTATTTGTTGTGCATCACGAGTTTTATTGCACCGTGGCTCTTGGCATTTGTTATGGCTACAGTGGGCCAGAAGAGGGCGACAGTCAGTCACTGATCTGTCAGGCTGATGAGCCTCTCTGTCGAGGCTTGCTTGGTGGTTTGGGGCCAGAGGTACCCTGGCACCTGTCATCTCCACTATAGACCAACATATAGACACGGGGAATTTCATTAGTTTACTAGCCTGACCATTAAGCTTAAGCTAAATATGAGGGTTTGGACTCAGGTATGCTGCAGTCTGTCAACTCCTTACAGAGATAAAGCTTTATAATAAATAACAATGGTTACACACTTTATTTATACAGCATCTAAACAAAGTTAAAGGATGTTTTACATAGGAATACTTCTTGGCACTACAATTCAATATAATCAAGAAATTAAAAGCACAAAAATGAAATAGAAAGTTCCTGGTCTAAACAACAGTCCTTACCGAGCAGTATAAAGACAAAATACAACAATAAAAATAAATGAATAGTCTAGTAGATAACATGATATGTACAATTTAGGAAAAAAGAGATGGTAATTAAATTAATTATGAAATAATATTACAGACTGACAACAATACCAATTTGGGTCCAGTTTCTCTTGTTAGTTTGAGTCCCTTTGCCTTGGTGAAAACCCAAAGGAATTATGCAGACCCTTAAAATCTTTTTGACCCACAAGTACAGAACCTCTTGCCCAACTAATATAGCAGCACTTCCATAAAATATTTCAGTACATTTTCCACCTTTCCATCATTTCCTTTATTTCTGTGGCTGGACAATTAATTGTGTGATGGTTTGCTCGTAAACCCCTGCTGGCCACCGTTGAAACGGAGCTTGGATTCTGATGGCTTCATTCACTGGCATCGGTGTGTCACTGTGGATAAGCACATTTTGCCAAATGCAACACAAAGTGAACTGGCCATGACAATGAGTAAAGTCGTCTCCCATTTGAACTCCCAAACCTACAATCAAAGCGCCATGATTTATTTGTGACCTGAGCATTCCCCTCCTACTCATTATTCATACTTTCAGTGTTAATTTGCCTTGTTCTCCGGGCACTCATTTGTCGGTTGAAAGCCCTAATTTATTGACCTATAACGTGATAATGTAAGTGTTTTTATTGAGCTAGTGGTTAAATCACTGAGTGAATGAGATCTGAAATGAATACTGTCTTAGCAGTGACAATATACTTCATCCAAAATGTATGCACACATCCACAAACACACTTTCCTTTTCCCTGTCTTGGCCTGGCGCATTAGTATGTGTGGTTCCTTAGTTGCCAAAATCATCAGTAGATATCTTCAAGCATGGAGCTGTATGAATGCTCTTTTTTCCCTCCTTCCACAATATGATGTGTTTCCTTTTTTGTGTGTGTTTTGATCCTTCTCTTGCGGCCAAGCTGTGCTGTGGTGAGGCGCGGGTTCGAGTGGCGCTCCTGTGTTATTTTTGGCAGCAGCAGTGGTTGGTGGCTGTTGAGGAGAGAGGAGACAGAAGGGGGATAGCGTGAAGCCCAAAACCGAGGCTGTTTAAGGGATTTCTGTCTGAAGGAATTGCTTTGTAATGATCAGAGACTCATTATGGATGTGTGCGTGTGTGCTCTCAAGCATGGATTTACGCGCACACGCGCACACACACACACACACACAGAGAAAAAGGCTGGCATGCACATTCATACATTTAGCACTTCACAAACACCTCATATAGATGTTCTCATTTACAGACCACACACTTGGACTTGCTAAATTGCTTAACATGTGAAATGCTTACTTTTTCATAGAATCAATGGCATCTGTGTATGATGAAACCTGCATCTATATTAACAAACAAATTTAATTATTTTCCCTTATTTATTTGTCGCAGTTAGTCTATTCCTGTCACATGGGAACTATTTCTTGTTTGTCAACCACTTTGTTAAGGCTCTCTCTCCTCTGTGGGAGTCAGTCTGAGACATGCCGCCTGCTCAGGCAACATGCAGTGTCAGACATTCACGCTCCTCCCTCTACACTTCTGAAAACACCATTTGAAAAAGATTTTCTCCAACTCTATTCTTGGCCTCAGATCAAGAGAACGTTATTACTCTGCTTTATTTATTTATATATTGTGGTGGTAATGTGTGTGAACGTATGCGTGCATGTATGTATGTGTGTGAGTGTGTGTGAATGTGTGTGTGTGTGTGCGGGTGAGTGATATGTAATTGTGTATGTATGTGAGTTAAGCCACAAAGATATTTCAATTTCTTCAGAATATTAAATAAACATGCAGCAGCAGCAGCAGCAGCTTCAGTGAAGCGCTGCCTGCCAGTGGGTTTTGGGTTGGATGGGTGGCGGTGCTGGTGGTGAAGGGGGAGAGGGGGTTTGTGGCCGTGGCTCTGGGGGGGTGAGGCAGCTCATGGTCAGGGCCCCCGCTGGACACACTGGCGCCTCGCGCTGGAGGACTTCTGAACCACCACACTCCTCCACCAAAACCCTGCCAACCCTGGCTCCGTGCTCCCGCTTCCAACCCAAATCACTCAGTTCTCTTTCAGCATTTTGACTCTCTCTCTCTCTCTCTCTCTCTCCCTCTGTCTGTCTCACTGTCTCTCTCTCTCTTCCCCCTCCTTCCTCCCTGACTCTTTTTCCTTCTACAGTTTCCTCATTCAGTTGATCCAAATCCAGATTCATTTGCTATTTGGCTGCCTTCTCTTTTCTCACTTACCGCTGTACTTTTAGTGGCAGGGTTCCCTGATTGTGTTTTCTCTACCTTTTCTCCTGAGGGTTTTGTGTTTTTACATATCCACCAGCCCTTCTCTGTACTGTCTCTCTTAAATCCCTTCATTTTAAATGTTCCAAGGAAGTATTTAGTGGCTTGAACTTGAAAAAAAAAAAGCAAACAAGAACGGGTTTGGGTTGTACATCAGTCAGAATACCATCAAGATAGTAAGCGTTTTGAAAAGGAAAGAACAGTTTATGGGTGTTCTAGATATTTGTAAGGGTATGAGGTTATAATGGGCCATCAATTTTCTAAGTGTTTTTCCAACCATCTCCAAGAGATATAGGGCTTTTCCCCTGTCAATGAAAAAAAACTTTCCGTTGAGGTCAAAATCAAGTAACCCATGCAACCTTTACTATATGTGCTTTCACTATAGATCTCCTTACGTGATCCTAACTTTGAAATCTGTTTTCAAAGTTCATCATTTGTCCTAATTAGAAGTGTACATTGATATTACATGATGAGATATACTTGCGATTACTGATAAAGACCATAGGCCTGTACTTTATTCAGGCCTCTTGGGCAAATGTGGTTTTTCAAAAAAAAAAAAAAAATCCTAACTGCACCTACTGCTGCACATAATTGAATTATGGATGTCAAACATCTTAAGTAGAGTGGATTTGTCTTTACTTTACGTGTCACACATGCAATTTTCTTAACTTAATTTTCCCCTGGAAGCAATTTGTCATCCGGAGGCCATTAAATGGGAAGGATATTATCTTTTTAAAGGGGCACAGAGTCACCCACAACCCTCCCACAGTTCCTATAAACAAAATGGCCTCATTTAGTGGTGCATTTGGTGCATTGGGCAACAAGGGAAGACTCCCTTTAAACTTTAAAGGCAGTTCTCAGGCTAGGAAAGGCTGTGACATTGTATGATTAGAGCTGGAAATATGAGAAGCACTCCAAGTTTGATGATGCAAGGCACAGGAGCTGCTGTTTTGTTTTGTCAAAAGAGGGGGTGGTCTAACCTCCATCACCACTGTAATAATCATTCATACAGTGCAGTGAGGAGAGATAGGAAGTAGTGCAGCAAGATGCAGCATTGTTGCATCAGCTGGACTCAAACTGTGGCACGTTGTTTGAACTGTATTTACTGCATGAATGAAGAAAAGCACACGAGGATACTCAATGACTGAGACACATCTGTTGTGTTTCTTTGTGACATGGCCCTGCTTCCTCTCCTAACAGGCAAATGATGGCTGAAAATGATAAGCAAAGAAGACAAAGTACACCTGAAAGATAGCTTGACCTTTTTACCTCTTGCCCTCTCTTATCTGGTATATTTTCCTTTTTAACCCCTGTTTTATTTAGCTTGACCTCTTCTGCTCTCCAGGTCATGTTATGGTTCACTCAGATCAGTGTGCCTTTCCCCTTTGCCAAAAAAACGTATCTTGTTTATACTTGTGGCCTGACCGCTGAGCCTCTGGGCGTGCTGACATTCTTTTCCCTTTCTCCCCCCCCCCCCCCCGCTCTGTCACAGAGACCCAGCCACACCTGCAGACACCTGTGCTTTTGTCCTCCCTCGTGCCTCCCACTGTCCCATCCCCACCCCCAGCCCCTGCCCTGCATACACTGGTCGGGAGTAGTGGCCACCTTTGCCTGTGGCTGTGTCAGAGCACAGTCCATTGTTTTACTTGACTACTCAGTTAGGACCAGATAATAGCAGGAAAAGCAGGGCTCATTAGCATTTTGTTCAACACATCATGATGAGTTGTCTCATTTTTAAATAGCTTGAATTGGAGTCTCTCTGAAAGTTGAAACTCCCTAGAGTAATTCATTAAGTGTAAGTTTGTCTAACTCATCAAGACTTAACTAAACACTGCTTAAGTGAATGTTTTAAAATTACTTCTTTGTGTTAGGTCGGAAATGGGCTGTGTGATGGCTTAAACAGGTGTGTCTGGGATCCTCTGGAATAACCTTTTTAGTCCCGTTAAGTCTGCAGTAATTTGATTTGTAAATGGAGTGCAGGGGCATGAGTGGGCAAGCCATATGGAACAGATTGTCCAGCTTCTGCTGCTATGTGTCACTGCATGTATATTTTCTTTTTATGACCTTATTTGAAGCAACATTTAATGTTTCCTGGCTTTCTAAATAAAAGAAGTAAAAATAAAGTTAAGGCTACAGTATGCCACCACCACTGCTGAGGGAGTGTATTTTAAAAAGGCAGAAAATACCAGTAGCAGCAGAGGTTTTAAAAGCCACTGACCGTCTTCTTAACCCCCCACCCTCACCCGGCCTGACACACCCTACCCATACCCCATTCTCCCTGTTTGCCTTTTATGTTGTGGACTCGACCGTGCGCCCACTTCAGACCACCGTAAACATGTCGGTCCCTGATGACAGAGTCGGCCCCGGGACATTTTATATAAATTGACCTCAAGTACAGCTCATTAGAAGCCCTAAATTGGAACCATGCAGCCAGGGAAGTGTAAATGTTACAACAGGAGAGACAGTAGCTTCAGGGGGGTTCTAGCTACAGCTCTTCACTTCTGTGTTGAAAATCCTTACTTTTATATAGCAAATGTTTGTTTTCACATTGCATGTCCCATTTGTTTCCCTATGACTGGTGAAGTAAACAATTTTTTTTGCCAAAGTGAGAAAGGATTTTAACGTATCTCCAAATTTGTTTTATGTGCTTATCATTCTTTTAAAACCTCACCTGTTACCAGTATGGTTATTAGCATGTCATAAAGATTAACTCCTATAATTCTATGTCTGGTGCTACTACAGAGCAGAACACATCTGTTGCTGGCTTCATTTAGTCTTTCCTGAGGCTATCTTTCCTTTAATGCAGAGTGGGAAGTCCGCCCACCTCAAGTATTTTTATTAGTCTGCAGTATAGCTTGAATGACTTGACAGAAAACTGGACAGAAAGTGGCTTAAACTGTTGCAGAAAACGCAAGAAAATGCCATGTACAGTGGCGACAGAATCTCAGATTGGTGGTTTTTGACAGACTATAAAACATACTTGATGCTCAGCCCAACTTCTCCTCTGCATCCGTATCTCCACATCATGTCTTTCGTCCTGCATCCTGCCTTAATTGGGGTCCTTTGTTTGACCACCTCCCTCAATAAACAATACAACCACAGCTCCCATGTCCTAATCCCCTCTTCTCCCCTCTCCTGACTCTGCTGGAGCATCGCTCTCAGTAATTACCCCTCTCCAGCTGGAGAGTGGAGTAATTGTCTTGAGTGTAACTACAGTGGCTCACTGAAAGGGGGTCATTGTGTGGAGTTAAGACTTCACTTCAGTGGACGGCTTTGTTTGTGCTGCAAAAGATAATGAAAGTATTTGGTTGGCCATGGTGAGATGGAAATAAAGTAAGATATGAAAAGAACGACAGTGAGCAAGGAGAAGAGGGTGTGGAAGAGTGAGTTTCATGCTCAGGGGACAACTACTTTTCATTGTTTGCACTTTAAAGTCAAGCTCACATATTCAAATATCCTTGTATAAGAATAACACCAGCGAAGAAAATGCATTTGAAATTTCTTTACTTTTAAAAGCACCAAAATTGTCATGATTCCACACCATAACTCTTACAACATGTATACCTTTGTGCCAGGTTTCATGCTTAATCACTATTTACAGTATCTTATACACTCATTTCACAACAAATCAGCAAACACTGGTAGTCCGACACTACCACAGTGAGCAAAATTATGAACAACAAATTAAGCTCTTATGTTTATGTTTCTTTTAACTGAAGCAACATAGACATCTTTTTCATCATGGAAGTGATACAAAATGTAGAAAATACATAAAAAAGTAGAAAAATAACACACCTAACAATATCTATATATTGTTGTAAATATATAGTATGTACAAACAAGGAGAAGCCCTTATTAATCATTACTTTGCTAGGTGTGGAAGACTTCACAATTAAAAGATTATATAGAAATAGTTTACACGCACATCTAACTTCAAGATCTATAAATAAATCTTTAAAAACATAGCCCCAACCTCCACGTTTTAACTAATAAATAAGAAAAAAAGTATTAATTTAATGCATTTTAATTTCTTTTTGGCCAGCTTCAACCATCTTGCGTTTTTTTTTTTCAGGCATTATATTTCCTGCAGGGTGCAAGATAATCTTCCATGTGTATAATTTAAGACATAAATTAGATTATTTATGTAAATATGAAATTAAATTAGACATAGTAAGAAGCAAACAGCAAACAAAAGTGAAATGCAAAACCTTTTACATCAAAATGTCTTTGGCAACAAGAAGCAGTAAATAAGGCCATCCTTTGATTGTTTCAAGAATAATGAATAAGTATCAAAGTACAGCTGTAAATCAGATTTTTCTCGAGGCATGCAATGCTCCATCAACTCCATCATCCCAACCATAAGTCTCGTCCTAAAACTACTTTCCTTTTGTGGCTTCAGAGCTCTTTTCCTTCTGCTTTTGCAGATTAAATTTCCCCAGTGGTTTGTCTCATTTTAAAGGCAGAAAATGTGTGGAGGCTTCAAAATGTGTGCACGAGCCTGTTTACTTGTATGTGTTTGTGTGTGCGTGTGTGTGTGTGTGTGTGTGTGTGTGTGTGTATGTATGTGTGTGCAGAGATAGTTTTGTGTTTTAGTTTAGTTTTGTGTGCTTATGCATTATATATATGCTTGCACATTTGCTCATAGTTATCTGTGTGCATGTGTATGTGCACATGGGACACGCATGTTATATCTGTGTTCATGTACTTCCTGGTTTGGTTGCTCATGTGCTTTCTGTGTGCCTGCATACATTGGTGTGCATTGGTATATGTTTGCAGGGTTGCTCATGTTGTGTGTGTCTTTCTCTGTGTGTGTTTGTGTGTGTGGTCCAGAGAAAATTAAGTGATTGCTACCTGCAACATGCTCAGTCATTTATCATATCAAGTCTTTTTTAACTCGATCTGGTGTCCTTTGTATGTCTTGAAACAAAATACTGTCTTTCTTTTTATTTAAAAGATGGATTTTTCACCATAAAAACGAACCCACCATGTCTCAAATAGTACTAAGTGGAAGATTTAATGAAGTCAGATCTCCAACAGTCCACTGCTGTTCTCCACTCCATTAGGTGTGCCAGTCTTCTCATCTCCGTTGGTGATTTGGTCAGCGACAGGATTGGTGGCTACAGCGCTGGTGTTGAGCTCTGCGGCCTCTTCACTCCGAGGATCTGTGTCTCCCTCCACAGCTACAGCTTTCCCCTGCATTGCGGAATCCGCATGGGTCTTCTGGTGCTTTGAGAGGTGGTCGCTACGTGTGAAACGCTTGTTGCACAGTAGACAGGTGAACTTCTTCTCCCGTGTGTGGGTGCGCACGTGCCTCTCCAGTTCGTCCGAGCGGGTGAAACGCTTCCCGCAGAACAGCCAGTTGCAAACAAAGGGCCGCTCACCGGTGTGCCAGCGCAGGTGGGCTTTGAGGTGGGAGGCCTTGCCATAGACCTTCCCACAGCCTGGGATGTGGCAGCTGTGGACTGGCTTCTTCCTCAGGGATGCAGCAGAGGCTCCCAGCCTCTCCAGCTCCTGGCAGTTGGGGCAGTCACATGAGGATCTAGTGGGTGCTGCCCCTCCGCTGTAGCCCCCTGATCCCCTAGCAGGCTTTAGGCCCATGGGACTCTCAATCAGCCCTGCACTTGGCACAGGCTTGGGCTTGTACATGTCCTGGGGCAGCATATGCTGGGAAGGCTGGAGGAGGTGTGAGGAGGAGCCCAGTCCCACAGAGGGGTAAGGTGCTGGGTTGAGGGGTGTAAAGTCGGTGCTGTAACTGGGCAGTTGTGGGCTCAGGGAGGCCTGTGGTGCTACAGGCTGCAGGGAGGCCTGGAGGCCTCCGTCCGCCTGGGGCTGCGTTGCTGACAGCCAGTTGGAGTTGGGGTGGACGTCCCACCAGGAGGATGTGGCATTAGCCGGGGCAGCAGTAATGCCAGGGTGGATACCGGCTTTATACCAGGAGCCATAAGGGTGTGTCATGTCCAGTGAGGTATAGACACTGGTGAGGCAATCGGCCGTAGCGTGGGCCTTGGACACTAAAAGAGACGGGTCCTGGGAGACAGAGGTCTGGAAGGAGTGGGAGAAAGGATTATATTCTGTAGTGTAGCCTCCGGCTGAAGGAGGGGGGCTTCCAGTTGGAGTAAGCAGCCCGCCACCGCCTCCTCCTCCTGCAGCTGTGGTGAAGGAGCCAGTGTAGGAGTCCGCCAGGCCACTGCCGTCTGCGGTCCGTCCGTTCTTAGCTGTCTGAAGGTCAGAGGTCATGGTGTAGGGCTTCTTTACTGGAGTGGTGCTGCCGGTCTTACCGGGTGTAGCCGAATCCCTGACGGGGCTGGTGCTGCCAAACTTGTTACAGGTAGCAGTTAACATAGCCAGAGGACTGGAGCCATAGCGTGCGTCTTCCTGGGGAGGAGGAGACATGGGAGAAAATGAGACTGTCTGTCTGCAGGAAATGGCTGCTGGTTGCTGCTGCTGCTTCTGTCAGTGTCAACTCTAATAAAAAACTTATGTCTGACTGCCACCGCTGGCTTTTCCTGCTCTCTCCATTTTCAAAGTGGTCAGGGCAATTTTAAGCAGTGAATGTTTATGCCTGTGAAGGATCTGCTCTGCTCAGCAAAGGCGGAATTCCCTCACTCTTTTGTTTAACTTTAACCACTGTCTACAAGCTATTCTTAAATTTGCATTCTTGTTTATTTCTAAGTTTTTCCACCTGTCTCCACAGTCAGCAACATAGAAAAATGTGCCTTCTGTTCGCATGTATATAAGCACTACACTGTTAACTGTAACCGAGCCTCAGTTATAGCAGACACAAACATCTAGTCAAACATGTTTTTTTTTGTGGTTACTATGCCACTGAAGGTGTGTCATGGTACACTTTGTCACAGCGGTCTCACCATTGTCCTGTTCATATTCTTACAGATTAAGATGTAACCATTGTCTGTGCCGTGGTGTTTCCTGTAAACATTCAGAGTCTTCATGAGCCCCTTTTAGGAAACAAAACAGTTTCCACTTGTGAAGTGAATTCTTGGGTATATCTGACTGAAACGCACCATACAAGAATCTTCACAAAATTTATTTATGTTTCTTTTTTTGTTTTAGTAGTTCTCACTTTAGTATTTCCCTTCTCCATGTGGCAGGTAACTAACGCCCCAGCACAACACATCAGAGGCGTTGCGTCTGTCTTTCTACTGTTACTGCTCACTGCACGTGTGGATATAACTAATAGTTACATTCTTAAGTTTCTGTGCTTCTATAATATGTAATAGTGAGTTCATACTGTCTTTGTTGTTCTCAGTTGTTCGTTATCTGCCGTGGTATCACTCATCTGGAATCACATTCTTAAGCTATTGGTGAATAAATATGCTTTAAATCAAACTTTTTCTGTGTTTAGGCGCACTATATCTCTTATTAGTTGTAGCCTATAACTTTGAACGAGTGTGAATGGAAACCTGTTTTAGACATAAACTTTGGTCTTTCCATGCAGGCAGACTTCCCATTCGAAAGGGGTTAGTGTTTATCTCCCTCTCTTACAACAAGCCCCGGGGTCAGCCCCTCTGCATCCTATTGATTTTGCTCTGTTTTGAGGTTGATACAGTTTCATCATTGACTTTAAAGTATTTCACTTCTCCTACAGTCCCTGCTGTCTTCTTCATTTCCATCCACCGCTGGTAACTGTAAAGCTTCTTGTGGCCATGTGAGATAACGTTTTGTTAAATCATCTTTATAATTTTATGTTCGCTCTCGGGTATAGAATGAATATTACATAGAGGAAATGTAAATCTTAGACTTAGAGGCAGAGGGTAAAATGTGAGCAGTAAAGTTTCATGGTACTGAACAGCTCTGTCAGCAGCTCAACCTTAAACTGCTTTAAATCACTCGCAATGAAAACCTAAATTCTTTCTTCATTAATGCAAATGATAATTTTCATTATCTAGTTAAGACACAGATTTACAGTCACTCATATATCATCTGTCATACGCCAGATACCTTCAAAGTAAACTCCAGTTTCCTCACATCAACATACAACTACATGACTTTATAATAAGTTCTAGCTTCAATTTCTACAATATTCACATCATAAAAGTTGGGTTTAGTATGAAGAAGAAAAAACAAATCTACTTACAATTACATTCCCTACCTCCAGAATAGATGCGGCCATCCCTGAGAAACAAAATCCTAAGGAAGCTGAGGGGAGTGGGAGAAGCGCAGCTCTGAGTCCCGGGACACTTTGGGAGAAGTCGGGCAGTAACGCGGGGAAGTGTTTTGAGGCGCAGGGAGCCCGCCCCCTAATTACAGGCTCCGGGCTCTTTGAAGACTCGCTAAGAAGCAATAAAAACCCAGAGATGGAGGAAAGCGGACGGAGATTGGTGGATGAAAAGAGGACATCCCACCTCCCCAAACGGAGAGTGTCGAATCATTTTTCAAGATAAACGCATGAATGGGTTACTCATCAATCACCATGTGGACATTATTTCAATTTCACTGGCATTATTTTTTCCACTGGGATTAGTCCAGTGGAGTCTGAGGCAAGAGATTACTCTTAACATCATCTCACAGAAAAAAAAATCTCCAGCCGGATTTCTCCATTAAGATAACAGACTTAGAGACACTGTAAATTGTATTCATGGTATTAGACACGTTACTGTAGGAGAACTGTAAATAAAAAAGCGGACTATAAAACTCTTTCCCGGCCTCCTCTGAGAGAGGAAAAATAACAAAAGAACATGTAGCCTCGGCCTATGCCACATAAATCAAAAAAATGAAGCTGACCGAGTCTGTGGTTTCCATCCGAGATTTTATTATTCTGGTTTCAACCCTCTCTTTCTGTTTCCAATATTCTTAAATGCAGTTAACTGCCTTTTTAGACATTAACTGTGATGGTTAAAGAGACTGAAGTACAGAGACGAGCGAAGAAGAAAAGGATCAAGTCATTAAATAAAATAAAGAAGAGATTATCGCATCAAATAAAATGAACTCATACCGCGAATTGACGAGGGGAAGAGAGTCGCAGGATTGTTTCCTCAAGAAAGAGGAAGAAATGATGGATGAGAGCTGCAACAGAAAGTTTAAAAGTGCAAAAAGAAAAAAACCCAAAAAAACAAAACACAATCCTGCCAAAGACGGTTGCGACGTGGTATTTCAAAATCGTCCAAATATCTCTCTGTCATTATTAATGTTCGAGTCTAGTATTAATATTTTCAGAGGAAAATATGAAAATATGTATTTTGCTGACTTACCAATTTAAAAGTATGTGTCATCCCAAAACTGCTTGCATGTGAACTTATGGCAGTGGTCTCTTTGTCTGTTAAACTTTGTGTTTTTTGTATTTTAAAATCATGACAAAAATCATAACTCTACATTAATCCATTATAAGCAGTAACACTCCGGAGAATTATTCAACTTTTAATTTTATGTAGAAACATAACTGTGACAAACCCATCCAAGCATACTCTTCTTTAGTGGATGAACTTTTTTATTGCATAAATTTACATATAATAAATATTCATACGCATCATAGTGGAAATAAGCAAGTACTGTGTACAGTTACATTAAAAATATGCTCTTGCTCATTCATTTTAAGCAGGTTTGTCCACATATGTTCTAACACCAATGTCACAATACAAGTGTAAAGTCAAAAAGCAACATCTTAATCATTTTTATTCAGGGAGAAGTATTATTTAAAAACATTAATATATCCTAATTGTGGTGTTTGGAAAGCTGAATTTGCATTTAATGAGCAAACTGTGCTGCTATTTCCTGAGTTTAAAGTAATTTTAAATACTCTTCTCAAACTGTGTGATGCACATGGGCTGAACATGAATCTCAATAGAAAGAGGGGAAAAAAAAAAAAAAGACTGAAATTGAAACTGTCATTCAGGTTTCAGCGGCCGTGTACGTTTTATTGATTTCATTTATTGGTTGAAAAATTCAAAAACTCAACTTTCAGTCTTGAGTAAGACGGATTCTCAGCGCCTTTTTGTGGGCGTCTCGTTTTCTGAAGGAGAGCACAGAAGATTAAAATTGTTGTCAAAAATAAACATATAATTTCTGTCCTTATTTTCTCCTCAATTACAGGGCATGGTTGGAGCAGGGCTTGTCGTTCTGGAGAGTCTGGCCCTCACATGAACACAGCGGCTATATTTGGCAGTCTGTTCTCCAACTGACCTTCATTGCTTTATTTTCTTATCCCAGAAGGGGTGTGAGTAGAAGAACAAAGGCTGCTACATGCAATAGTTTACACTGTCACACACTCCCAACAGGACTGTACTCGCAGTCATATAAACCTCACTTCAAACTGAGGGCAAAGTGTCACAGAAGGCAAACAATGACAACACCTGCTTTGTATCTATCTATTGAAATCCATAAGAAATGTAATCAGTAATGCCTCCTGTGGGCGTACGGTATCGTGCCAGGATCCTCACGGATACATGTGTTATACGTGGCAATCTTTTCACACTTTCTGAGGCATTTCCTTCCCCTCTCATTGGACACATATTGTGTCACTGATGTAAGTCTTTAAGTGAAGTGTTCCTTTTCTTCTTAGTGTTCATTAATGCTTTATATGTTTTACATTTAAGTGAAATGAGAGGGGAGGTAAAAAAGCTCCTATACTGCTGAGATGTGGGCTGCAATGGGCTGCTTTTCCTCATTTTTATAAGACTTGTAGTAATCTAAAACTTTGGCGTGTGCCCATTTACAGTTCTCTTCAAAAGAGAGCAAGTGAGATCTATAATTAGAGAATGCGTTAAGCTCTTAACAGCCTCTTCAAAAAGCTTTCTCTGCTGTATTTACTATTTTCTGCCCTGTGTGGTTTAGATCTTTGGGTACGTACAGTAGGCACTGCAGGCTTGATGAACCTCGGGGCGTTGGGTGGGCACGATTATGTTGCCCAGGGCTGATTATATGTTTCATATGGATAGTTATTGTCCATATGACAGCTATCACTTGTATTAGTAGCTGCAGGTTTCTGTAGCGTTGCTAGCGCCTTACCCCAAGTTCGTGATTGCTGCATTAACAAAAAATATATATGTATTTGTTTCAACTTCATGGTAATTTCTATGATGATAATGCTTCAACAAGGCAACTGATGACACACATATGACTCAAATAAGAGTGTTGTATGTTTTTCTCACTGTGCAGGCAGCCGCACTCCGAGAATTCTGGGTAAAGACCTGAGCTTTCCGAAGGTTTTCAGCACTGGCAATTAACCAGATTTGCCAGTCGTTTGGTTTTGACTTGATATATTGTGTTTGATAGTTAACGAGTGGCCTAAATAGATAAGACTGAACTTGTTTTACTCAGATTTTCCTTATCATAGGGGAAAATGTCTTGGAAAAAAAAACAAAAACAAAAACATGTCCAAATGTGACAAAATATTTAAAAATCTGTCATTGGACCCTTGTCAACACAACTCTGTCCTATGACTGAAATGGTCACATTTTTGTCACATTTTTAAGACCTAATAATTTAAATCCTTTTTGTTTCTGAGGAGCCTCTTCTTTTTTCGTACGAGATCTTCAATACTGCTTGAACGTGTTTTACACTTACCTGACATTACTTCATCAAAAAGTCTGGATTAAAAAGCGCGACTGTTTCAACTTTGATATAAGCAAAGCAAACCTTAAGACAATAAGTTCTTTATTGCCAAAATTGTATACAGGCATATATTGTACTGTAGGTGTGCATATTCAAGGTGATTACATTTCATTGACTCCATTACTCTCACTGACTTTGTTGTAGTCCTTTTTGTACTTGCAGTCTATATTCCAATTACCAGATCCACCGTGAACCAACCTGTCACAGTATTTCACAACCATCAAGAACAGACACAGTTCTAACTCTGTGTATTCACAAATGTTCATTCCTGTATTTTTTAAAAAGAAATTGGAACGTATTCCATAGCCTAGTGCATTTTGATTGTTGCTGGCAAAATTTTTCTCCTTTTTTTTTTTTTCTGAAAATATTTCGCTTTGGTGAAAGAAACAGGAAGCAATAATACTGTCTCCAACATAGACTGTCTCCATTATGCTCACCAGTGGTCAACTTTTCCGTGCAAATGTTGTAGTCGAGCCGTTTCACTTTGGCGAAACTTCCTCTGGTTGCTCTGCTCCATAGAAAATGAAACCGCTCCCAGTGACGAGTTGATTGAAGTGATGGCAGTGAGTGCGCAGTTTGTTTGCTTACAACCAAGTCTTCTTAGCAGAGATAGAGTCTACTCCGTGATGCCACATGGTTCACATTGTGTTGTTGTCACTACTAGAACTGGACAGCCGAGGAGTCAGGTGCTGAGAGTTAAAATGGCACAACAAGCTTTATTGTCGTGTGTGCCAACAAGGCTCAAGTGTTTGAAGTGTAGGAATCAGAGGGCAGAGATGATGAAGCATGAAAAGTCAAAAGAAACTAATCCCATATTGAATCACACACTCAAGGAGTCCCACAGTGTTTCCATAGCAAGTATTGAAAACCGTTAAAAACAGAAAGCTGGCGTTGCATGTTTCGTCAAATTTTCAGTCATGTTTCTTATTTTTTAATCAGATATTTTCAGATTACAGTTCACCTGCACCATATAGATAAAAATGCTTTGGCAGATTCAAAATATAATTGGAATTTTAGACTGTATTTTACTTCAGCAAAGGTCATGTTTTATATTACGCACGCATTAAACTCTAATTCATGTGGAAGTTTGGTTTATTTTGTTAAATTAAGAAAAAAAGGTTTTATAGAAAGACCTATTAATAATCTTTATACTAAGAAACATACTTGTATTATTGATGCACTATATTATACTGGACTATTTTATTTTTTAGTGAAGCAGTTTTTTTTTTTTAGCAGTTTTAGTGAAGAGGTGTAAAAGCAGTTGAAATCGCATCCTTTGCAAAGGACAATCATGTTAGGTGAGAAACTGGGAAACTTTGTGCAGCTCACATTCAATAGAGTAAATTAATGTAATCTCACATGACTTTGTTTCTGATTTTGCAGTTTCAGATCTATCCTTGTAAAACTACTTCTACTACTACTACTTTGAACACTGTCGTCAATCTTTCAAACTCATGATGTCTTCATTTCCAACTAGAGGCAGCCCTTCACCAATGCCAATGTTAAACAGCATACACCAGACTTCAGAGAAATGGCGCATGCAATATCCCTCAACCAACTTCAGTACAAATTGCTACTTTTTGCATAATCCTGCTGACAAATAAACACACATGGGTGAAAACATACAGTAACATCCTTAACG